TTTGTGTTTTTTTTTTTCTTTTAAATTTGTTTACTTATTTGAGAGAGTTACAGGCAGAGGGAGGACAGAAAGGTCCCCCATCCACTGGTTTACTCCCCAGATGGTCCCAATGGCTAGAGCTGGGCCAATCTGAAGCCAAAAGCCAGGAGCTTCTTCCAGGTCTCCCACATGGGTGTAGGGGCCCAAGCACTTGGGCTATCTTCCACTGTTTTCCCAGGCCATCAGCAAAGAGCTGGCTCAGAAGTGGAGCAGCTGGGACTCGAACTAGTGCCCATATGGGATGCTGCAGCCACAGGCGGAAGCTTAACCTACAACTCCACAGTGCCAGCCCCTCATTTTGGAAATTTAAAAAGAGATAAAAATGTAAAGGACAAAACCAAGTTATCCATATTTCTATCTCCTAAATTAAGTACCTGTTAATTGCTTGGTATATTTGTTTTCATTTATTTTTAAAGTAATAAACATTTGGGGCAGAGGTCAGGAACCAAAATTATACATGCTTATTAAAAAATTCAAACTTAGAATATAATATTCATTCACTCAACAAATATTTATTAAGCACTCCTTAGGCCCAGGCACTGTTCCAAATACTGAGTTACAACAGAGAACAAAACAGACAAGAAACTCCCAAATTTCAAGTAGCATACATGTTAGTGGAAGAAATTAACAAATAAGAAAAACAGTAAATCATATAGTATGTTAGATGATCATAAGTGCTACAGAGAAAAATACTGCAGGAAGGTTTCACTGAAAAAGTGACAGCTGAGAGTATACCTCAAGAAGATGAGAAGTAAAGAAAGTAAACAAATCCCAGTCCAAACTGCACTACCCCCAAAACATGATGAGCATTAGGTGACAGCCAGTCCCAATATACCTATAATTTATGATCATGGATACATGGAAAGATGGGTAGATGGACAGAAAGATGAGGCTTAGGAGAAATACACCATCATAAAAATGCATTCAGACTATAAAATGTTTTTAGCAAATCAATGAGTTATTTATACTTGGCACCTATTTTTTGATTAAGAATCTATATCTAGATATAAGAATATGTTTAGCCTACAGAACTATGGGCCACAGTTTTAAGAGTGTAGTTTGAGTTTTTACAAATATATAATCTTTCCATCAACCACCCAGATCCAAATTTGGAATTGCATTAAATCTACAAATAGATTAGTCAGCACTGATTTAATTACAGTCTCAAATTCATGAACAGTGCTATCCCTCTACTTCTCTGTTGTTTCCTTTGGTGATGCCCCTTGTTCCCTACTTGGAGGTCTTGCACATCTTCAAGTACAAGGTACTTTTTTTTTTTTTTAAGGTTTATTTATTTATTTGAGAGGCAGAGTTACAGAGTGAGGGAGACAGAAAGATCTTCCATCAGCTGGATCACTCCCCAAATGGGTGCAATGGCCAGAGCTGGGCCAATCTGGAGCCAGGAGCTTCTTCTAGGTCTCCCACTTGAGTGCAGGGGCCCAAGCACTTGACCCATCTTCCACTGCTTTCCTAGGTCATTAGCAGGGAGCTGGATCAGAAGTGGAGCAGCTGGGACTCAAACCAGTGCCCATATGGTATGTTGGCGCCACAGGTGGAGGCTTAACCTAATACACCATAGCATTGGCCCCATAAGGTACTTATTTCAAGGTACTTGATGCTAATGTTTTAATTTGTTTTCATAATTTCAATTATTGCCAAACAATTTTTTTAATCTTATATCTTACTATGGAATGTTACTAAATTCATATTACTTATATGAATTTTCTTTTTTTCTTTTTCTTTTTTTTCAGTGAGAGAAACAGAGAGAAAGGTCTTCCTTTGCTGTAGGTTCACCCTCCAATGGCCACAGTGGCCGGCGTGCTGCCGCCGGTGCATCGCGCTAATCCAAAGCCAGGAGCCAGGTGCTTCTCCTGGTCTCCCATGGGGGTGCAGGGCCCAAGGACTTGGGCCATCCTCCACTGCACTCCCGGGCCACAGCAGAGAGCTGGCCTGGAAGAGGGGCAACCGGGACAGAATCCAGTGCCCCGACTGAGACCAGAACTCTGTGTGCCGGCGCTGCAGGCGGAGGATTAGCCTATTGAGCCGCAGCGCCGGCCTATATTACTTATATCAATTTTCTACATATAAACCATGGCATCTGTGAATGATAATTCTTTCATCTTTTTTTTTTTTTTTTCCTGTCTAGGATCTTCTGTACTAAGGTGAGAAAGAGTGGTGAGGGTGGGTATATTTACCTTTATACTTGTCTCTGGAGAGTAAAGTTTTCAATAATTCACAATTATGTATGATGTTTGCTATAGTTTTGTTTTTGTTACATTGTATTTATTAAGTTTCCTTCTCCTAGTTTGTGAAATAAAAAACCTGAGCGCTGGATTTTATTGCTTTTTATGCATCTCTAAAGATAACTTTTCTCTCTTTTTGTAAATGCAGTAAATGTTAACTTTTTCAATTTAAAATACAAGTAGTTCTCACTTTGCACAAATAACGGAAAGGCTTGCCGTTTCCGTGGTGAAAATCTTCCCTCATGGCTGACTTCAGGCTCCCAACAAGATGCCACGGAATTCACTGTGGGGATAGGTGTACCATGTGCCAACAGCTGTAGGCCTTTAGCGTTGGCTCTAGCACACCTCTGATTTTGAAGTCCCCAATAACCAAGAAAGAAATGGATCACAACTTCACAAGACCAGCAAGAATAAAAACATTTCAGCATTAGCTATTTGATAAAAATTCTCACAGGTAAACCATGAGGCAGATCAAAATAAGGATATAATTCCCTTCTTTTTTAAGACTATTAAGAATCAAAATGTCTAGCACTGTTAATTGGTCTGAAAAAAATTCTTTGAAAAGCTTACAATCTAAATGATATAAATAAAGTTATTAGAACATGCTTGAAACTTACAGAAAAATCTTAGGCTGGTAGTGGCAACTTGATGCTAAAGAAATCTACAGATTGGATGGTGAGCGTCTAGGGATTCTTCCTGAAAACCATTACATCATTCATCAGCTGGGGCTTAATGGAAACACTATGGGCGCTTAGCCCTCTGCCTCCATGCTGAGCCGCCCGCCTGGCCTGGCCAGGCTATATTCCACTCAACCATGTAACCTCGCTCTCCCTCCAGTCTGAGCGACTAGGCGCTCTCTCAGGTTCTGTCTGGAGAGGTACCCATCCGTTCTTACGGATGTCCCTACCCTAATAAACCTTGCTATTTTACTGGCCACTAAAAAAAACAAAACAAAACAAAACACAACAACAAAACACTATGTGATGTGGTCTAGCAGGGAAAATAAAGAACCTAGTATTAGCTAAGAGAGTGACATGTGAAGGGATGGCAGTAGGAAAGAACGTGGCACCTCCAGAGTTTACAAACTTGAGACCAGCTACTGATCAGCCTTCTGTGCTGCTTCATTTGCAGCATCTGGCCCAAATGTTAGGCAGGTGAGCCTCAATTTATTCATGATGAAAGTAGCTAAATGGAGTGTCTGTAGCACTAATAATCAAGTACAAGCATCCCGTTGTCCTGCATAGCTGACAGTGAACTTAAAAAGTCAGTTATCTACTAACGTACTTTAAGTTAGCATCCCTTAGATTTCTTAGGCTGAGATAAAATACTCTTAAACATGCACAGGGGGGCTGGCGCCATGGCTCACTTGGTTAATCCTCTGCCTGCAGTGCTGGCATCCCATACAGGCGGTTCTAGTCCCGGCTGCTCCTCTTCCAATCAAGCTCTCTGTTGTGGCCTGGGAAAGCAGTAGAAGATGGCCCAAGTCCTTGGGCCACTGCACCCACAAGGGAGACCCAGAAGAAGCACCTGGCTCTTGGCTTCGGATCAGCGTAGCTCCTGATGTTGTGGCCATCTGGGGAGTCAGCCAACGGACAGAAGACCTTTCTGTCCGTCTCTACCTCTCACTATCTATAACTCTACCTCTCAAGTAAATAAATAAAATCTTAAAAAAAATGTACAATACAGCTCATAGAAATGCTTAACTACTAGATTCTACTTGTTGGCTAAAAATATGACTACTTCAGATTTGATAATGGTCAAGAGTCTGAGAAAGAGCATGCAACACTGAGATGCCTATGTGTTATCAGTCTATAAAGAATAGGTAAAAAACAGCCTAGGAATAATAGTCTACTATTTTATTTTATTTTTATTTTTTTAAATTTTTTGACAGGCAGAGTGGACAGTGAGAGAGAGAGACAGAGAGAAAGGTCTTCCTTTGCCGTTGGTTCACCCTGCAATGGCCGCCGCGGCCGGCGCACCACACTGATCCGAAGCCAGGAGCCAGGTGCTTCTCCTGGTCTCCCATGGGGTGCAGGGCTCAAGCACTTGGGCCATCCTCCACTGCACTCCCTGGCCACAGCAGAGAGCTGGCCTGGAAGAGGGGCAACCGGGACAGAATCTGGAGCCCCGACCGGGACTAGAACCCGGTGTGCCGGCGCCTCAAGGCAGAGGATTAGCCTAGTGAGCCGTGGCGCCAGCTCAGTAGTCTACTATTTTAGAATAAAGCTTTATATTCCACAGTTGGAGACTCAGAAACTTAGAAAATGGAGTTATGGTCAGAAGTGATATGGGTAAGGACACACAGCTGTCAAAGTATGCATGGAAATTAAGTGTGATACAGTACTCACATATTAACAATACTATACTCACATACTATTTGGTCAAGTATTGATCAGTCCTTAAGCTGACTACTTTCTCAACTTGGAGTCACAGAATATTATTAATTCAATTATATTAACTTTAATATATAAGTAATATCAATACTGTATAATTCTGAGGCTGATAAACAATATGATATATAAATCATCTACAAATAATTCATTGTTGGTCTGCCGTGTTAATTCCCAATCCTTACATGAGAGTTGCTGAAAAACAGAATTTTCATGTGTATATTCTCAGCTAATAGTTTTTAAAGATTTCTTCCTATCTAATTAGTTATTAGTTTAGATATTTTCTCCTATACACAAGGTCCCAAAATAAAGAAGCATACACAGAATATAGCCAACAGTAGGTTTTATCAATTTACTTCACATAAGAACAGTATTTTCAGGACTATGATTTCCATTTAATATCAACAAAAACAATCTGTACAGAAAATCCCAAGGCAACCATATAGCATAGTCTGTAAAATGTGCAAGTATACCTTAAAATGCAAGTTATTCTATAGCACTTGCAAGGTAGAACTATTAACCCAACTACCTCATTCTAGCTAACTTAATCTTTCGCATGTATAGCCGATGCAAATGTACAAGGCACAACTCAGTGTTGCTGCTAAAGTGTGTAATGCACATCCTCAGATTATTTACTTGAAGATATTAAAACAACATATCCTGTTTGTAGTTTATTATTTAATGAGCTATCAGTTCATTTCTTCATAAAGCATTATACTGATAACATATATTTGGCCAGGACAAACTGTTCCCTGAACTTAAAAGGTGACAGAAAAAAATCTCGATAACCTACATTAAAAAAATTTATATACGTACACATTTATATATATATGTACACACACATCCCACATTACACAAGAAACTTCCCATAATCCAAAGGGAGAACATTTTCTCATTGGCAAAGGTTCCCATTACAGTATTTCACAAGTCACTTAAAATTTCTTATTTATTTACCAGCTGTTTTAGTCAATCTTTCTACAAAAACACATGGAAACAGACAATTTTCTTCTTTAAGGTAAAGAAGTGCCTAATTTAAAGTGTTTCTCTTGAGATTTCACAGTGAAAGGTATAATTTAAATGCAAAAGCTGGTTGCCTTGAAAGAAATTATTTAAACCTACACAGAAAAAAAAAAAAAAAAAACCAACCTACTGAAAATCAGAGCACTGGCTGTAGCACAATTCAGTCTCTCAAACCCAATCACAGTACTCTCTGCTGTTTTACTGCCCATCCCTGAGAGTAAAGATTCTATTATTTTAAATTTTTTAATGAAGTAAATACATTTTACATTGATAATATGAATGATGCTTAAAATTTTTTTCAAAATATAAAATAAGCCCTATTTCATTTTAGTAAAAAAAAAAAAAGATAAACGTTCTTTGCAAAGATCATCATTCACAAAAATTCTGAGTATCTGTATGTTAATCAATGGTTAACTTTCTTCTTTTACTGGGGAATTTCTATTTTTTGCCATTATGTATTACTCACTTCCCTATAACCCACTGTTTTGTAATTTTTTTAACAGAAGTATTTAATAGGTAACAGAGGAAAAGTACAATATAAAACTTGAAGTAACGCTGGAGTGAGATGAACATTTCCCTGTGTGGGAAGTTTTAGTGGAAATAATCTGAATGCCATCCAAGAAAGGCAAAAATATCTATGAAAGAAATAATACATAGGGTACACATCTTTACTGCTGTCTTTGGGTTAGCCTTCTTGGCCAAAGTCTTCTGTAAACTTCTTTAATTTCAACAGATCGTGTTCATTGACCGTGGGTTTTGTACTAGACAGTGACCGCAACATATCCGACTGTCAGGGAAAAAAGGGTGGGAGCAAATATTAACAACAGATTTAATAAAATGAAACTCACTGCATTATCATTATTGTTACTAACTTTCATCTAAGGCTAAATCTAAAAGTGTGCCCCAAGTTACTGACTATAAATTTCCTTATAATTATCCTAAAGGACATCTTCAGTTACATCATTCCTTTGCATGGAAACTTACAATTTCTTCCCTTGTCCTGAACAAAACTATTCAGTGGCTCCCCATTATCCATCGCAAGTAGAATCTTCAGAGCCTGAATATCAAGGTGTTTCAAAGCATATTCATGATCTAACTTCTGGCCTTACCTGTTTTCTAGTATGTGCAATTAAAAAGAAATGTGTCATTCGCTTACACTTAAGTGAAGCAAATACCATTTTATTAAAACCAACTAGCTATAGAAATTTTAAAATAAGTTAAAATTGAAATGGTAAGAAAATATGCTAATATCAGAGATTCATAAAAAAACTAACTTGTGCATAGACTAACTCCTATAATATAGAATGGAAATGCTAAAATGGATAGAGTACAAAAACTTTTGAAACTTCTATGTCAAAGATTGAAATCTCTATAATAAGAGTTAATAACTTCTCAGATAAGCATTATGATAATTAACACATAAATACATGTATTAGTTTACGTATCAGATAAAAGTTTCTGTTCTGGAAGTTACTGCAGAGCTCTTTGAAAATATACAAGTGAAGTAAAAATCATAAAAATTTCAGAGTGCTCATTAAGAAGAAAACATGAACATAACTTGTTGTCACCCCAAGTTCCTAAAATAATGTAACTTACTAAGTAAGTCTTGGGAATTGCTTTAACTCCTCTAATATAACCTGAAACAATATAACTTTTATAAAAATATTTCAATTCAGTTAAAAATTTTAACAACTGCATTTTTTAAAATGTCTATTTTTTTTTTTTTAAGATTTATTTCATTTGAAAGTCAAGAGTTACAGAGAAAGAGAGAGGAAGAGATAGAGGCAGAAATCTTCCGTCCGCTGGTTCTCTCTCCAGATAGCCACAGAGGCCAGGACCGGGGGAGGCCAAAGCCAGTATCCAAGAACTTCTTCCAGGTCTCCCATGTGGGTAAGAGGGGCCCAAAACACTTAAGCTACCTTCTGCTGCTCTTCCCAGGCTGTTAGCAGGGAGCTGGATCAGAAGTGGAACAATCAGGACACAAACCAGCACTCATAGGATTCTGGCATCACAGGTGGCAGCTTACCCCCTACACCACAATGTGGGCCCCTTCTATGGAGTTTTAACAATATGTTAAACCGAAAAACATTACTTGTAAATACAAGGATATAAGCAATAGCATTTCTGTTTATTTTTAAAAATTGAGATGAAGGGAAAAATTTGTTCCCTTTTAAGTATTTTTTAAAAATGTTTATTTATTTTTATCTACTTGAAAGTCTGAGTGACAAAAAGAGAAAGAAAGAGGGAGCCACAGCACTTCTACCCACTGGTTCACTTCCCAAATGCCTCAACAGACAGGCCACAGTAACAAGCCCAGAACTCCATCCAGGTGTCCCATGTGGGTGTCAGGGGCCCAAGCACCTGAGCCATCATCTGCTGCCTCCCATGATGCATTAGCAGGGAGCTGGGCTGGAGGCAAAGGGCCAGGACATGAACAAGCGCTTGGATATGGGATGTAGGTGTCCCAAGTGGCAGCTTAACTGGCTATGCTACAATGCCTGCCCCTACTTTCTACTTAAATCTTGACAACAAAATAAGAAATATATATATGAGCATTTTGGCAATGATACGCCAACTATAAGACAGAATGACAGAAATTTATTTTTTCAAAAACTTTTAGTTTCCTCAGATCCCAAGAAAATATCTTAAAGATTTTTATATTTTAAGTTCAAGTTCAATTACTGTTTACAATTTTTAAATTGTAAATGTTTTACAATTTTTAAAGTGACTTGATAGTATTAAATAAACATATTTGACAATACTAATATTTTCCAGCAAATTTCATATAACTGAACATTTTTGTCTTAGACAAATTACAGAATATAATGTTTTAAAATATTTTTTAAGAACAAATAAGATTTTGGGGCCAACGCTGTGATGCAGCAGGTTAAAGTCCTGGCTTGAAGCACCAGCATCCCATTTGGGTGCCGGTTCTAGTCCCGGCTGCTCCTCTTCTGATCCAGCTCTCTGCTATGGCCTGGGAAATCAGTAGAAGATGGCCCAAGTCCGTGGGCCCCTGAACCGCGTGGGAGACCCGGAAGAAGCTCCTGGCTCTCGGCTTCGAATCAGCTCAGCTCTGGCCATTGTGGCCATCTGGAGAGTGAACCAGCAGATGGAAGACCTTTCTTACTGTCTCTACCTCTCTCTGTAACTCTGTCTTTAAAATAAATAAAATTAAATTAAAATAAAAAAAAAAGAGAGAACAAATAAGATTTCAAACCATGGAAACCACTGGCTCCAAAAGTTTATCCCCAGGGACATCCATCCATGTCATTTCAATGGCACCAGGATCCCCTGGAGAGCAGGGCGTTAGTAGATCTTCAACAATGTTTCCAGGATCTGATCGAGAAGGTCCACGAACCTGGAATAAAAAGTAAATCTTAAATATTTATTTGAGCAAATTAAGCACTACAATATAGGCCATTACCAGCCAAGATGGAAATGTATTAATATTTTTATATTGGCTTAAAATGTTTACTTTTGAAAAAAATAGGCAAATAGACAACAAAAAGTAGTTATCACTGAGTTAAGGGATAGATTTTGACTTTCATTTTTTTCTTGATGTCATTTTCTATATTTTGAATTTACCACAATAAATTACTTTATGATCAGGAGAAAATGAGTCAAACAAAAAAAAAAAAAGAAAAACAGCTGGTGGTTGAGCTTTCCTTTTTTTCCCTGTAATGTTTTTTAGTGGAAGATATATTAGAGATCCAAAATAGACATTAACTCTCAAAGGGGTTGTCTGGCCTCGTCGTGAAGATGCCAGTTAAAACAGTCACTTCCCGGCTCACTAGGCTAATTCTCCGCCTGCGGCGCCGGCACACCGGGTTCTAGTCCCGGTCGGGGCACCGGATTCTGTCCCGGTTGCCCCTCTTCCAGGCCAGCTCTCTGCTATGGCCCGGGAGTGCAGCGGAGGATGGCCCAAGTGCTTGGGCCCTGCACCCGCATGGGAGACCAGGATAAGTACCTGGGTCCTGCCATCAGATCAGCGCAGTGCGCTGGCCGCGGTGGCCATTGGAGGGTGAACCAACGGCAAAGGAAGACCTTTCTCTCTGTCTCTTTGTCTCACTGTCCACTCTGTCAAAAAAAAAAAAAAAAACACTCACCTCCGGTATCAGAGCATCTGGGCCTCAGACCCTGCTCTGGCTCCTGACTCCTGCAAACCCTAGGAGGCAGCTGTGATGGATCAAGAGACTGGATTTCTGGGGCCAGTGCTTTGCCTTAGTAGGCTAAGCCTCTGCCTGTGGCACTGGCATCCCATATGGGCACCAATTCATGTCCCAGCTGCTCCTATTCTGATCCAGCTCTCTGCTTGTGGCCTGGGAAAGCCATGGAGGATGGCCCAGGTGCTTGAGCCCCTGCACTGGTGTGGGATACCCAGAGGAACCTCCTGGCTTCTGACTTTGATCAGCTCAGCCATTTGGGAGTAAACCAGTAGATGGAAGATCTCTCTGTCTCTGTCTCTGTCTCTCTCTCTGTAACTCTACTTCTCAAATACAGAAATCTTTGAAAAAGAAAAAGAGAGAGAGAGAGAATGGATTTCTGCCTCCCATGTATAAGAACTGGATTGAGATCTCAGCTTCTGGCTTCAGCATTTGAGGAGTGAATGAGGAGTGGATGAGCAGATAGGAACTCTCTCCATATATAGCTATATCTCTGCCTCTAAAAGAACAAAAAATTTCATAAAATAAATTACAAAAACCAAAAAAATGCTTATAAATTGTTCTATTTTCCACAGCTGAGAAAGTTCTGATATTTGAAAGCTTTAGTCTGAAACTACTGAATCTTTTAGTCTTTTACAACAAAAATTCTTTCAAATGTAAGTGCAAAATTAAATGTGAAATGAAACTTCAGTGCCATTTTATGATATATAACTTAAAGTAAAAAGTTTTAACTTTTAAAATGTTTAATCTATGCATAGTTTCTTCATGCATTTTCCACAAACTTTCTGAAGACTCCTGATATAGCCAGGATTTCAGAATTTTTCCACATTTTATTTTCATGAACTTTTTGTAGTACCTTTGTATCTCTATTATGTAGTCTCCTTAATATACAACATTGAAACTTTTTCAGATTCTTTGAAGACAAACCAGTGATGATCTTGAAAATTAAATTTTAAAATGATAGGTAAAAGTTACTAACCTTTTTAAAGTGAGTAGCTGACTGTACTTTTCTAACGGGCTGCATAAGCGCATCACGTACAATGACACTTATATCTGCCCCTGAATAACCATCCGTTTTCTTCCCAAGGTCTCGGAAGTCAGTTTCTGTTAGACTGTTCTGAGTCGTCCCCAAGTGCAGTTTAAACATGGCAGCTCGGGCATGAGCTTCAGGCAAAGGAATATAAATTCGTTTCTCAAATCTTAAAAAAAAAATTGTATTAATCATGTTAATATGTACTCAGTTTTAATAAAAATTAGGATATTTCCCAAAAGAAATATTTATTTAGTTATTCTCAAATAATCCATATGTGCCAGAGTTAAATGTTTATGTTTCAGTTAGTTATGTAAGGCAAAAGTATCAAGAAAGTATTAAAAACAACAAATAAAATAAAAACATCCAGGGAAACAAAGTGCTTTGATTTTTTTCACATGATTTTTGTGTTATCTTGGCCATAGCATTTGTATGTTCAGAATTCATAAAAAGACTTGTCCTACAGGATATAGTCTCCCACAGAATTATACTCTTAATTCCTGATCAAGGGATTAATGATCATAATGTGAAATAGAAGCAGAAATGACAAAATAATTCTCTAAATTAAAAAAAGTTAAATTATTTCAAAATCTTAAATACACACTTACTTCACAAAATCTCCACCTTATTACGATGAGTACATTCAAACAACCTATATCATATATAAACAGTTATGTTTTATTATTATTTTTCCTAGAATTTCAGTACATGGAAATAAAGAGGAAGTAACGAGGGGTAATTCACATGGTCTGTGCAGATGTTTTTCTTCCAGGTAATTCTCCCTGACAACAAGAGGAATTTTTTTTACCTAGAGGTGGGCTTGCAATTAGGCTATTTTTTTCGTTTCTTGGTATTAGATGATAATCTAGCATGCTGGCAAACCATCAAGCACATGGGATACAAGGGGCAAATACTGAAGTGCTAATGTTTACCACGCAAAATTAAATGAATAGGGAACTAGGAAGCAGTGAGGAGTCTGTACACTGTTCCTAGGGCTGAAATTTCATTTTCAACTTAAAAATTAGAGTAATAACTTTTTTAAACTAAAAAAAACACACAAATAAGTCTTAGTTTGACTTTTGTAACAATCATTTTGTTAACATTTTATATGAAGGATTTTTTTCCAAAATATCAAAAACTGTATTTGTAAATTTTCAAAGCATCAGTGCCCACTATGTTCAATCAACATTAAAGGTAAGCTTTAAGTAATTTATTTTCCAGTATGAAAGTTTCCAACATAGAAATCTTCTGTCTTGAATATAGCAGGCAAGCAAGCAGATGACCACCATTCTTTCCCCAAGACAAAGGGTAACAGTCAGGGTAAATTAAAAATTCTGAAAAGTTATCTGAATGCCTCTTAACTAGACAAAAAGGGAATTATCATTTCCTTGCTAAATCTGTAGTCAGAAGTAGGAATCTACTATATCATCATACCTTCGCCTAATGGCAGAATCCAGAACCCAGGGGATATTTGTAGCTCCCAGAACCAAAATTCCATCATTGTCCACACCAACTCCTGCATTAAAATTGGTAATATTTTAAATAATTTGTCAGTCTGTGTTATTTAAACTCATCTGTATGTTCTGTGAAGAAATGTGGTGCTTTAACACTTAAATGCCTCATCATGAGTCTTTCTCTCTGAAAAAATTGTTTTTTAACCAAATACTGTATTACCACAACATGATGCAAATATTCCTAAGGATCCAATACCTTAGACTGTGCACAGATACTATGATTATCCTAGTAAAGACATTTATTTAAAGATTTCATTTGAAGTTTGTGTTATTTTATTCATACTGTTCCTAGAATAAGTGAACACATTCATCTCTACTATTTATATCAATGAGTTTCACTTGATTACAATTGGGAAAAATTATATACACATGAAGACAATCAGAATGGAACATGACATAATGAAACAGATGAATAGAATGGAGAAGTCCTGCTGCATTTTCCCCCCATGTTTTAAAAATAATGGTTATACATAATGAAATACTTCTTAAAAATCAGTACTATTACCTTGCATTTGAACTAGGAACTCTGTCTTAATTCTCCGTGCAGCTTCACTTTCATTTTCACTTCTTGAACCACACAAAGAATCAATTTCATCTATGAAGATAATGGAAGGCTTGTTTTCTCTGGCAAGCTGGAACAAGTTCTTAACTAGTCTAAAAAATAATTAAAAACTGTCAGTCTCTAAAAAATAAAGACTAAGGAAAGCAATATACCAATATTACAAAAACTGTTGAGATTAAGAAGTTTAATCATGTTTCAGGTATATAAAATGATATTTAAATGGATAATTTAGTTTACAATTTAAGTTTGATATATATGGTTTTCCTACAAAAGACATTATAAATTTAGGGGTGGATATGACAGAGAAATGAATACTTTATTATGTCACTTCTATTAGTTCTACTAAGCTGTAATAAGCCTATTACTCTATAGACTGATACAAAGTTTCTACCAACCCTTCCCCCCTCTCCAACCCCAAATTGACTTACTACTTACTTTTCACTTTCACCTAACCATTTAGAAACAAGGTCAGAGGAAGATATTGAAAAAAATGTTGAGTTGTTTGCTTCTGTTGCTACAGCTTTGGCTAAATAGGATTTTCCTGTTCCAGGTGGCCCAAACAATAGGATTCCCCTCCAAGGTGTTCTCTTGCCTAAAATTTCCATTAGAAAAATAACATGAGAATTTCAAAACTGTTAATTTCAGTTACCTTAAACATCATTCATTTTAAAGCATCCATAATAAAAAGAAATGTTTAAAATAAGTCACTCCCTGCACCAGCCCAAGCCACTGGCGATAAAGCTGCAGGCAGAGCTTGACATGGAGCCCTGTGGGAGACGTGTACCTGCCAACCTGGAGGGAAAATAGGGAGGCACATTTCTCTCTCTCCAACCACCTGGCACTGGCATCCTGTGACTAGCTGAGAGGGTGGGTGCCATTTTGGATATACAAAACAGCTGCACCAGCTCATGTCCCACCCCAGCAACCAGCTGAGTGGAAACGCCTGAGTCTGGCCGGGAGAACTGATAGGTGGCTGGGTGCTCGTGACCATCGGAGCAGTCACTGTGGGTGACTCCACATGCTCGGGGCTCCCTGAGTCCCTGGTGAGGGTCACTGCTGCAGGATCTGTGTTCACACCAAGGACTGCACAGATCCTCTGCATAGATCCTCTGTATGATTCTTGGAACAGCACAGATGAACATCATACCCACTGGGGCTAGCGCCCAGGCATTGTCTCCTTTGAGGAGAGTAGGTGAGCGTGAGGATGCACCAATAGAGAAGAACAAACGTTCCCTATGAAAAAAAAAATAAAAAAAGATTTACCATGCCCAAAGTGAGTGCACCTTGGACAATCCCCTCACCCTGAAGCACTGAGCAGAGCTCCTTGACCATATCCAGCACACGCCTCTGGTATTCACCAAAAGAACAGAAACTCCACTAAGAGGCACAGTCCAAAGATAAAAGCCATCACAGGGGAAAAAAATAAAATAAACATGTGTCACCACAAATGCCCAATAACAAACACAGCAATTCAAGAAACAAGAATAAGGAGAAAACATGACTCCCCCAAAAGAACACAATTCTTCAATATTAGAATGTGAAGATGAATAAAGAATGACAAAATGCCAGAAATGGAATTCAAAATATTGATTGTCAAATTATGTAGAAGTAATCAGAAGCAAATTCGTGAGCTAAAGAAATCTATGTGATATGAATTAAAACTTTTTCTATGAAATTAAGATTTTAAAGAGAAATCAAAATGAAATACTAGAAATGAAGAATTCAATAGAACAAACAAAAAATATGGTAGAAAGCCTTAAGAGCAGACTCAATGAGGCAGAACAAACAATAGCTGAGTTAGAAGACAAATCTCTGGAAATTTTACAGTCAGACAAAAAAAAAAAATGAAAAGAAATTAGAAAACTTAAAAACAGTGTTGGAGATTTATGGGATACTATCAAATGGCCCAACATACAGTTGAAGGCATGGAAAGAGAGAATGGGTTAGAAGGCCTTTTTAGTGAAATAATTACAACAAACTTCCCCCAATTTGGAGAAAGGGATGTCCAAGTACAGAAAATACACAGAACTCCTATTAGACAATGACCAGAAAAGATCTTCACGACATCCATTGTAATCAAACTCTCCACAGTAAAACTTAAAGATTCTAAAATGTGCATGAGAAACACCAAATTACTCTCAGAGGTTCTCCAATTAGACTTACAGCTGATTTCTCATCAGAAACCCTACAGGCTAGGAGAGAATGGTGAGGTATATTCCAAGTCTGAAGAGGAAAATAAACCGTCAACCCAGAATACTGTACCCTGCAAAGCTCTCATTTATCAATGAAAGTGAAATAAGACCTTCCATAATAAACAGAAATTGAAAGAATTTGTCACCACTCATCCAGCCTTACAAAAGATGCTTACGGATGTGCTATACACTGAAACAGAAACATGGTCATCACTATGAAAGAAGGTGAAAGCAGAAAATCTCTCAGTAAATATACAAAGGAAACCCAAAGTAAACAATAGGAATATTTATGGAAAAATGGCAGGGCCAAGACATTATTTATCAATAGTCACCTTGAATGTGAATTGCCTCAACTCTCCAATTAAACGATACAGACTGGCTGAATGGATTAAAAAAAAAAAACTCTTCTATTTGATATTTACAAGAAACACATCTCACCAACAAAGATACACACAGACTGAAAGTAGAAGAATGGAAAAATATATTCTATGTTAACAGAAACCAAAAATAGCTGGTGTAGCCATCCTAACATCAGACAAAATAGACTTTAACACAAAAACTGTTAAAAGATACACAGAAGGGCACTATGCAATGATTAAGGACTCAATTCAACAGGAAGATGTGACTATTATAAATGTATATGCACTTAATTACAGGGTACCTAGCTATTTAAAAGAAATGTAAAGGGACCTAAAGGGAGATATAGGCTCCAATACAATGGTAATGGGAGACTCCAATGCTTCACTTTCAGCAATGGACAGATCAACCAGACAGAAAATCAGCAAGGAAACAACAGTTAATCAACACTATAGACCAAACAGACCTAAAGGATATCTACAGAACTTTTCATCCTATAGATGCAGGATACACATTCTTCTCAGCAGTGCATGGAACTTGGATAGACCACATGCTAGGCCATAAAGCAAGTCTCAGCAAATTCAAAGAAATTGAAATCATACCATCTTCTCTGACCACAATGGAATGAAGCTAGAAATCAGCAATTCAAGAATCTCTATAACATATGTAAATACATGGAGACTGAACAACATGCTTCTGAATGAACAGTGGGTCACTGAAGAAATAGAGAAATCAAAAACATTCTGGAAACAAATGAAGATGACAATTACAACATATAAAAACTTATGGGATACAGCAAAAGCGGTGTTAAGAGGAAAGTTTATAGCAATTGGTGCCTACATCAAGAAATTAGAAAGGCACCAAATAAATGAGCTATCAATGCATCTCAAGGACCTAGAAAAATAACAGCAAACCAAACTCAAAAACTAGTAGGAGAAAAGAAATAATTAAAATTAAAGAAGAAATAAACAAAAATAGAAACCAAAAAAATACAAAAGACAAAAAAAAAGCTAATTGTTTGAAACAATAAAAAAAATTGACATACCACTGGCCCAACTATCCAAAAAAAAAAAAGAGGGAGAAGACCCAAAGCAATAAAATTAGGAAATATAACAGACACCACAGAAATAAAAAGAATCATCAGAAATTACTACAGAGAACTATATGCCAATCAATAGAGAAACCTAGAAGAAATGGGTAGATTCCTGGACACATACAACCAACCTAAATTGAGCCATGAAGACACAGAAAACCTAAACAGATCAATAACCAAGATGGAAACTGGATAAGTAGTGAAGACCCCCCAAGCAAAGAGAAGCCCAGGATCTGATGGCTTCACTGCTGAATTCTACCAGACAGTAAAGGAAGAATTAACTCCAATTCTTCTCAAGCTATTCAAAACGACTGAAAGGGAGAGAATCCTCCCAAATTCTTTCTATGAAACCAGCATCACCTTAATTTCTAAACCAGAAAAAGATACAACAGGCAAAGGGGACTACAGACCAATTTCCCAGATGAACATAGACCCAAAATTCCTCAACAAAATACTAGCCAATTGAATCCAGCGACACATCAAAAGATCATTCACCCAGACAAGTGAGATTTATCCCAGGTATGCAGGGGTGGTTCAACATTTGCAAACCATCCAATGTGATACATCACATTAACAAACTGAAAAACAAAAGCCATATGATTATCTTAATAGATGCAGAAAAAGCATTTGATAAAACACAACACCCTTTCATGATGAAAACTTTAAGCAAATTGGGTATAGAAGGAACATTCCTCAACACAATCAAGACAATTTATGAAAAACCCATGGCCAGCATATTGAATGAGGAGAAGTTGGAAGCATCCCTACTGAGATCTGGAACCAGATAAGGATGCCCACTCTCAGCAATGCTATTCAATATAGTCTTGGAAGTTTTAGCCAGACCCATTAGACAAGAAAAAGAAATCAAAGGGATATGAATTGGGAAGGAAGAAGTCAAACTATCCCTATCAGCAGATGACATGTTTCTATATATAGGGGATCCAAAAAACTCTACTTAAGAGACTATTTGAACTCAAAGAGGAATTTGATAAAGTGGCAGGATATAAAATCAACATACAAAAATCAACAGCCATTGTATACAGACAATCCAATGACTGAGAAAGAACTTCTAAAGATCAATTCTATTCACAATAGCTACCAAAAAAAAAAAAAATCAAGTATCTTGGAATAAATTTAACCAAGAATGTAAACAATCTCTAAGATGAGAATTACAAAGCATTAAAAAAAATAGAAGACACAAAGAAATGGAAAAAATTTTCTATGTTCATGGATTGGAAGAATCATTATCATCAAAATATCCATACTACCAAAAACAATTTACAAATTCAACACGATACCAACCAAAATCCTAAGGACACTCCCCTCAGATACAGAAAAAAAAGATGCTGAAATTCATATGGACACACAGGAAACCCCAAATAGCTAAAGCAATCTTATACAACAACAATAACAACAAAAAGCTGGAGACATCACAATACCAGATTTCAAGACATACTACAGGACAGTTACAATCAAAAGAGACTTGTAGTGGCAAAAAACAAACAAACAAACAAACAAACAAACAAACAAAATCTGATGGGTAGCTCAATGGAACAGAATAGAAATGCCAGAAATCAACCTATGCATCTACCACCAACTTATTCTTGACAAAGGAGCTAAAATCAATCCCTAGAGCAGGGATAGTCTCTTCAACAAAGGGGGCTGGGAAAACTGGATCTCCACATGCAGAAGTGTAAAGAAAGACCCGTACCTTACACCTGACAAAAAAATCCACTCAAAATGGATCAAAGACCTAAATCTTTGACCTGATATCATCAAATTATGAGACAACATTGGCATAGGCAATGAGTTCTTGAAAAAGACCCCAGAGGCACAGGAAATCAAAGCCAGAATTAACATGGGATTACATCAAATCGAGAAGCTTCTGCACTGCAAAAACAACACTCAGTAAAGTGAAAAGGCAACCGACAGAATGGGAGAAATTGTTTGCAAACTATGCAATAGATAAAGGATTAATAACCAGAATATATAAAGAGATCAAGAAACTCAACAACAACAAAACAAACAAACCAGTGAAAAAATGGGCAAAGGACTTAAACAGACATTTTTTAAAAGAAGAAATCCAAATGGCTGACACATGAAAAAAAGATTCAGAATCACTAGCCGTCAGAGAAATGCAAATCAAAACCACAATGAGGTTTCACCCCATCCCAGTTAGAATGGTTTTCATATGACACCAACAAATAATAAATGCTGGCAAGGATGTGGAGAAAAAGGCACCCTAATCCACTGTTGGTGAGAATGTAATCTGCTACAGCTACTGTGAAAGACAGTATGGCGATACCTCAGACATCTGAATATAGACCTTCCATAAGATCCAACCATCCCACTTCTGGGAATAATTCACCTTAGGGAAATGAAATCAGCATATGAAAGAGTTATCTGTACCCCCATGTTTATTGCAGCTCAATTCACAATAGCTACGATATGGAATCAACCCAAGTGCTTGTCAACTGGAGCTGGATAAAGAAATTATGGGATATGTACACCATGGATATTACACAGAGGTAAAAAAAAAAATGAAATCCTATCATTTGCAACAAAATGGATGAAACTGGAAAACATCATACCAAGTGAAATAAGCCAGTTCCAAAAGGACAAATACCATATATTGCCCCTGATCTGTGATAACTAATAGAGCACTGAAATTAACACTTCGAGATGCAATGACTTTGAATAGCTCTTGTCTCAACTATTAAGGAACAGGTTTCTTTTTTTTTTTTAATACAATTTGTTGAATTCTTTACTTAGTCTATAGTTAACTGCATGTATATCAAGTCAATTGAAAATAGCTCTTAGTAAAAAATAAGAATGGGAATAGGAGAGGGAGGAGGAGGAGGAATGGGATTGTGGGTGGGAGGGCAGGTATGATGGGAAGAATCACTGTATTCCAAAAGTTGTATTTAAGAAATGTTTGAAGTTTGTATTCCTTAAATAAGAGGTTTCTGGGGGAAAAATAAAAGTAAAAATAAAGTAAGTCATTCCAAGTATGTCTCATATATCTAGAGACAACTTTGTCAAAAATGTGTTGATGTAAATATGGGCCTTCAAACAGGAAGTGCATTTGCTTGTTCATTCAATCCTATGCATGGAAATCATAATGTGCAGACAGACAAAATGATCTCTGTCCTCATTTACAGTATAATGGAGCAACAGAGTTCAAGTAAAGGCGATTTCAAGTGTCTATGCACACTGCTCCATGCCAGAATATATTCCATAATTCCAGAATATTGCATATCCATAAAGGAACAGCAAATGGAAAGATTTTCTTTGAAATATTTATTAACTTTGGAGGAGTAAACCTACTACCCAAGAGTTTGGATGACTTGTGACTTTCTACTGCCTTCTTGATTTCATAAGGAAGCGTAGGTTAGAATTACAGATTAATCTCCCCAGTTGGGGAATAATAAAGAAACTCTATGTTAACTCCTAATTTTGTCAAAATAGAGCAAGTGAACAGATAATTCCATTGCACAATTTTGATAATGAGAAATTAAATGCTGCTTAAAATAAACTGGGCTGAATTATAGCTGGCAATAAATATCAAACACACATTTTAAAACCTACTAGGTAGAAACTGTGAATGAGTACAAAGTGTCTACAAAAGAATGATAAACACAGGATAGTGAGGCGGACTTTAGCCTAGCAGTTAAAATGGCCACATCAGGGTGCCTGGGTTCAAGTTCTGGCTCAGTCTCCTGATTCCAGCTTCTTGCTGGTGCAGATCCTGGGAAGCAGTGTTTATGGCTCAAGTGGTTGGGTTCCTGCCACCCACTTGGAAGACCTGGATTGAGTTCCCAGCTCCAGGCTTTGGCCGGGCCTACCCCTAGTCACTGCAGGCATTTGGGAAGTGAACCAGCAGATGGGGAATGTCTACCTCTCAAATAAATAAAATGAAATTTAAAAAATTTTAAAAAGAATGATATATAGATGGTTAATGGCAAAACTATCATTGTTACAAAAGCTTCAACTTTTATTTAAAATCCTATCTTCCTATTACTCTGTTTAAAAGGCAGAGAGAGAGAGAGAGAAAGAGAGAGAGAGACAGATACCCTATCTCCTGGCTCACTCTTCAAATACCTGCAACTGCTGGGGCTGGGTCAGACTGAAGCCAAGAGCCAGGAATTCAATCCACAGGGGTGGCAGGGACTTAGCTACTGGAGTCATTACCTGATGCCTCCCAGGATGCACAATAGCCTGTAGAGGCAGGACCTGAACAGAGGCACTCAAATAAGGGGTGTTTCTGCCCCAGTGGTGTCTTAACTACTGAACCAAACGCCTGCTCCTATCTTCCCATTTTAAATGTATGCAATTATAAGTCAGTGTATACTGCTGGTATTATATGAAATAGTTTTAGGTGGTAATCAAATGCCTTTTAAATAATTTTTAAAAAATATTTATCAAAAAAATCATATTTTTCACTTACAGACAAAAAATTATTAAAACAGTGTTACTAAGTAAAAATATGTGAGAGGGGCCAGTGCTATGGTGAAGCAGGTAAAGCTGCTGTGTGCAGTGCCGGCATCCTATATGGGCAGCAGTTCGTGACCCAGCTGCTCCACTTCCGATCCAGCTCTCTGCTATGGCCTGGGAAAGCAGCAGAGGATGGCCCAAGTCCTTGGACCTCTGCGCCCATGTGGGAGACCCTGAAGAAGCTCCTGGCTTCGGAATGGCCCAGCTCTGGTCATTGCGGGCAACTGGGAAGTGAACCAGCAGATGGAAGATCTCTTTCTCTGCCTCTCTCTACCTCCGCCTTCAAATAAATAAATAAATCTTAAAAAAAAAAAAGTGAGATAATTTAAAGTTTAAAAAAGGGCAAAATCATCTATAGTGTTGCAAGTCAGAGAGTGATGACCAACAGGGAGGAAAGAGGCAGGAGGGTGACTGCTAGGTTACTGGGAGTGTGGTCTTGGTCTGAGATGTCCACATGGCACAGCCTGTGATAATTAAGGAAGCTGAACATTTATGGGTTCCTGCATGTCTTCACATATTTGCACTATAAAAAAAGAGTCTGTTCTAGAAAGTCAGTGATTAGGCCCAGCATTGTGGCGCAGCAGATAAAACTGCTGCCTGCAACCTCAGCATCCTATATGAGCATGCCAATTCAGCTCCCTGCAAATGTCCTTAGTAAAAAAGCAGAAGATGGCTCAAGTACTTAGGCCCCTGCCACTCAACTAGAGACCTGGATGGAGTTCCAGGCTTCTGGCTTCAGCCTGACCCAGCCCTGCTGCAGCCATCTGAGGAGTGAATCAGTGGACAGAAGATCACTTTGTCTCTTCGGGTTTTCTTACTTGGGTCCTGGGAACAAGTTTGCCTCTCTATGGTGGAGAATGAGCCCAGAGTGACCCGGGTATCAATAAGCCAAGTCCTTCTCAAGAAAGAAGGGCACATTCACTTTCTCTTTGAGAATTATGCCTTTCAGATAAATAAATAAATCTTTGGAAAAAAGTGATTTTAGAAAAGTAAAAAAGAATAAAAGAAAAATTAATGAAGTAATACATAAATGACTCACATTCAGGAAACACTGGTAAAAGAAATGTAAATTAGTTCAATCATGGTTTTATACCTTTATAGTATTATGATGTCAACCTTTATACTGTTTTTTTTCATATTCCAGATGGTAGGCTGTGACACCTCAAAAGTACAGGGACAGCACATGGCCCCACTGGTTCTTTGCCCTTCATTACTGTTCTGTAGGACAGCCCTGTCTGGATCTGTTCATGTTGAGGCTAACACCTCTCTACATGAAGTCAACTTGATCTCAAAAAGAAAAGTCTGTTTGACCGTTAAGACTGTGAGGCTAGCCTTATTACAGACAAAGGCTACCAGTGACAAAAAGGACAATGTGAAGGAATGCTTCTGCTGGAACCAGAATTTTAAACTCTCTCCAGATGGTGGGTCAGCAACTTCCTCCTCACAGGGAGAAAGGATCCACCTCTTTGTCTCGGGAGGATATGAGCTTCATCTGAAGCAGCTAACTAATTCTTACACCTCTTTTTTAAGAAATGGAATTCTCTTAAAAAATACATGACTATTGCAAAAAAGTTCAGGTGGAAGTCAAAAGTAAAAATCATCTAAAGTCTTATCTCCTAGGTACACAGTAACATTTTTATGTCAGTCCCTCTACATGTACTTCTCCGCATATACATTTATCTAACAAACATGGAATCAGACTACACAATAAGCATGGAATCATACTATACAGATTTTATAACTTGCTTTCTGATCTTTGTAACAGATGTAGACTTTTAAAAAAATATTTATTTATTTGACAGGTGGGAGGTGGGGGAAGACACAGAGATCTTCCATCCTTTGATTATGTCCCAAGTGACTGCAATGGCTAGGGCTGAGCCAGGCTGAAGCCAGGACCTAGAACCCAGGTCGCCTATGTGGAGACGGGGTCCAAGGATTTGGGCCATCTCCTGCTGCTTTCTCAGGTGCACTAGCAGGGAGCTGGATCAGAAGCAGAGCAGTGAACACTTGAACCACTGCTTAGACAATGGGATGCTGATGTCGCAGGCAGTGACTTAACTTGTTGTGCCACAACACTGCCCCAGTGTAGACATTCTTTAACAAAGCATAATATACATTTAAACTTGTCACTGCAGATGTATACCATATGCTAATGAGTACACAGTATTCTACTATGCACATCAGAGATTACCCTATGCGCTATGGTTGACATTTAAGTTGTTTTGCAATCTATATAGTGGAAATTTGGATATGCACAGGAAATAAAACATCTATGTGTAAAGATATTATCATCACCTTGTAACAGTCTGACTTTAATGATATAGTGACACGATATGGTGACAAGAATTCACAATGCTTTACTTCAGTCATCAATGCTTATTAAGAGTCATTAAATAAAATTAATGAGAAGTCACCTCACCTGTGAATAAATGAGGAAATTTAATAGGCAGTATCACAGCCTCCTTAAGTGCTTCTTTGGCTCCTTCAAGACCAGCTACATCACTCCATTTCACATTTGGTCGCTCTATAACAATGGCACCTACAAAGAATGTATGTCATCTTTAAATTAAGGAAGTTTGTTTCATCAAAAGTTAGAAGACAATACAAAATAATGATGTTTAAAATTATTTGGAAAAGTATTAGGTGCTATAAATATGTCTGAAATAGCCTGATGAAGGAGTAGTTCTTGAGGTAGACAGGAATCTGGTGGGTGACTACATAACTAGTAAGCCACTTAATCTATTTCTGCTTCCTCATTCATGAAATGAAAATATTACCATCTATCCAAACTGCTTAGGTTAGTGGAAGGAGGAAATGACACAATGAATAATACAGTATTTGGAAAAGCACTACACATTATATGAAGTAGTTATAATTTGGAAACATCCATTCTAGAGTACCAAAAGTACTTATTCAATAAATGTTGATCTATTAGGGTGCTTCAAAGGCTAGTAGAGAATGGAATTAAAAGATAAGTTCTGGCCGGCGCCACAGCTCACTAGGCTAATCCTCCGCCTAGCAGCGCCGGCACACCGGGTTCTAGTCCCGGTCAGGGCGCCGGATTCTGTCCCGGTTGCCCCTCTTCCAGGCCAGCTCTCTGCTGTAGCCAGGGAGTGCAGTGGAGGATGGCCCAAGTCCTTGGGCCTCACACCCCATGGGAGACCAGGAGAAGCACCTGGCTCCTGGCTCCTGCCATCGGATCAGTGCGGTGCGCCGGCCGCAGCTCGCCGGCCACGGCGGCCATTGGAGGGTGAACCAACGGCAAAAGGAAGACCTTTCTCTCTCTCTCTCTCACTGTCCACTCTGCCTGTCAAAAAAAAAAAAAAAAAAAAAAAAAAGATAAGTTCATTTTGGTGAAAAAAAATTGAAATACAGTTTTTCATAATACACAATTCCCATGAGCTTTTTTGATGACCCCTCATATGCATGGGTTTAAACCCTTTTTTGCATCAAAAATTATCTTCTAATTCCATTTTCCATAAACTTTTTGAAGCACTCCTGTGATATTTCTCCTGTTAATCAAAAGGTGATCTACTGCGCTCCTCACAAAAAAGGAAAATATGCCCCACAGCTCTAACTGAAGACGAGACAGATGGAAGGAAAAGGGAAAGGAGAGGAAGGGATGGAATGGAATGGGAGCAGATGACAGAAAAGGCCGTTTATCCCTTTAGATCTGCAATACTTCCCTGAGATTTACCCAATTTTCTATTTGACTCCAAAAGGCCTATTTATAATTTTTGAAACTTAACTAAGTTACACAAATGAATGATTTAGTTTCTGAATGCAGCGTAGTCACAATTCATAGCAATTACTGCAATAAATCCAACAAAGATTTCTTTCAATGTAACTAGCTGGCAAAATTTTCTAGTTATCTATTATCAAATGATTTCTCCAGTTTTCTAGCACATGGAAAAACCTCAACTACAACTATTAAGCAACCTGTTCTAAGATGTATAGCTGTTTTAAGTATAACACTACGACATATACAATCTAATGACTGATCTATGAAATTAAGTTTTATAGGTTATTTCTTTTCATTAGGAAAGATCAACTACTACCCAAAAGCTAGTTATACTCAGAAATTTATTCCCCAACATCATGAAATTCTTTGGTTACTAAAGTTAAATGAAACCATGATTTTTGTACCCTGAAAGTACAGAGTAGAATGAAGAAAAATGTCAATTCATTTTTTTTAATTCCATTAAGGTTAATAATCCCAATTGAGAAAATATCTACATTACAGGATAGATTTTTTTTTGTCAATTTATTCTCCCACTTATCTAATACTTTTCTCCTTAAAGTTGAAAGATGACTTTGGAATACTTGCTGATAAATACTAAACACCAAACTTTAACAGAAAGCTCAAAGCATAAATATATTTTTAATTTTAACAATCAAGTTACACTTAATGTCATAATCTGAAACAAAATTATACTAGTGTTTCAGGAAAAAAGAAAAGATTTTAAAAAGTGTATATTATGAAATCTATCAGCAGTTCATTAAATTAAAAGATGAGGGGAAAAATGGATTGTCAGATAAGAAAGGCTGGAACACCTTTCCTATTGCATTTTATTATGAAATTCTGAGGAAATTTCTGCATGCACTTAAAAAAAAAACTGTCCCTTATCAAAACTGCTATTAAAAAGTTGGATATATCTTTGTCAAATAAAGGATAGAATCCAATTTTCACTGGGGTGGGTGGGTAGGGGGTGGGTAGAGATGAGAACAAAACCAGTACAGCAGACTGAAAATGTTGCTTGTCCTATACTTGGCATACCACTAAGTTACCCAACAAATACTAAGTGGTATGTGTGTGAGAGAGAGAAAGCAAGAAGTTGTGAGCGAGAACGAGATACCACTTCAAAGAGAGAGAGAGAGAGAAAGACTGCTTCAGGCAGTAGGAACACAGTTGTACACAGAAGTTTCTGCCCTTGGACTATATCAACCATTGAAATTCTTGGCATACAAAATGGTCTGAGTCCTTATTAATTGTACTGTGTTTAAGATACTATCCACACCCTGTTCTTCTACACATTCCAGTGCGGTAGGTAAGACAGCCCTATTACCAAATTGAGAAGGCTAGTAAAACAAGGATAAAGGTCTGCTCAGCTAGGTATATTCACTCTTCAGTAACCAAGGATGAAGCTACATCCATTTAAGAATCTTGACCAGTTATGCATTCTATTTGGTAAGATTCAAATGAATAGATACATCCTACCTATAACCTATAATTTAATTTGAAAAAATCATTAGCTAAAAAAACCCTCTGAAATAAAAAAAGAAAATCTAAACTCAGCAATTAAGAAGCCAGAAATTAAATAGATGCCTTTTTAAAAAAATTGTATTTACTTATTTGAAAGGCAAAGTGACAGGGAGAAACAGAAACAGAAACAGACATAGAAACACACACACACACACACACACACAGTAATCATCTATCCACTGGTTCACGCCCCAATGGCTGCAACACCTAGGGCTGGGCCAGCCCGATGCTAGGAGTCAGCAACTCCAGGGGTGCAAGCACTTGGATCATCTGCTGCATTCCCAGGTGCATTTGCTGGATCAGAAGCACAGAGTAAGAATGAGTAGAACTGGCACTCGGATTTGGGATATCAGCATGGCAACTGGCGGTGACTTACCCCTGCTGTGCCATGGCAACCCCAACAGACGCCTTTTAAATACATAGAGTCACCGATTTATCGAGTCTCTAGAATTTGTCAGCTGAAACATAAGGTAGTTTTTCCACTGCCATTAATCTTATAAAAGCCCTGAAAGGAAGGTATTATGAATTTTCATTTCAAGGATAGGGACTCAGACTAGGAGGTTAAGGAACTTGTCCACAATTATAAAGTTTTTAACAGCAGACCTCGGTGTGCAATCCAGATTTTTGGTGTGAAATTGAGATTCTTGGTGTGGAATTGAGATTGGAATGGAGCCAAAATCTTTGCCCTTTCCATTATGGCACTGCAGTGGTGTGCAAGTGCTTTTATGTTGCTCAAGGTAAAAGCAGAAGGCTTAAAGAGCTCAAAGGCAATGCAAACAGATAAACGTAAATCAGAGCATTAAAAAGCGGATGAGGAGCCGGCGCCGTGGCTCAATAGGCTAATCCTCCACCTTGCGGCGCCGGCACACCGGGTTCTAGTCCCGGTTGGGGCGCCGGATTCTGTCCCGGTTGCCCCTCTTCCAGGCCAGCCCTCTGCTGTGGCCAGGGAGTGCAGTGGAGGATGGCCCAGGTGCTTGGGCCCTGCACCCCATGGGAGACCAGGAAAAGCACCTGGCTTCTGGCTCCTGCCAGGATCAGTGCGGTGCGCCGGCTGCAGCGGCGGCCATTGGAGGGTGAACCAACGGCAAAGGAAGACCTTTCTCTCTGTCTCTCTCTCTCACTGTCCACTCTGCCTGTCAAAAAAAAAAAAAAAAAAAAAAGCGGATGAGGAAGAGCAGGTAGGAAACATGAAATAAACTATCAATGACTCAGCGGTAGCAATAGCAGTAAATGCCAAATGTATTCCTAATCCATCCTGCTCATCTGACAGTAAATTTAATTAACCCATTAGATTTTGTAGCACGCTAAGAGTATAAACGCTGAGTTCTCTACAAGAGGGAAAATACAGTGAAAGAGAGTAAGCTAAAGGACAGCCTTTTACAGGCAGATATAAAACAAAAAAAACCAGCATCCTCACTATAAAAAACTGAACTACTAGAGACCTGCGAGTGCACACTCTGTGAAAATGCTAACAAAGCCAGCATGTGACACCCTGGGAACCAAAGCCACTTCTTGACCTTCACTTAAATGCAGAGAGGAGAGAAAAAATACACTACAAATACACAATTCACTGAGGTGTTTCTTTTTTTTTTAAATAAGATAATAAGTTTAAAAAATGAAATCTAAAGCAACCTTGAAGCTGATTCTGCAGTTTCTTTTTTTCAGGATCGTCAGATTCTCCTTCCCCATCACTGTCATTCCTAATAGAAAGAATTTAATATGTTCAAATGATCACTTGCTGCTATCAAATAAAGCAAAAACGAAGGAAAGATTCCCCAAAATATTTGTAATTTAAATGGAAAAACAAGACATTGACATTTCACTATTTTTGATAATATATTAAGTATAACAGGAAGCAGGCACATTATCAATTAACAGGGAATAAGGAACATGTAAAGGACAAAAAGACCAGAAAGAAGTCAGGAACTAATTCCAAGTCCCCATGACATACCTATCATGTACGAATTCACAAATGCATGTGCCACACAGAATTGTAAATCAGAAAAAAAATCCATCAGGACCAGGCAAAGTACACATCAGAGCAAGAGGTCACACTAGGAGCAAAGCCCCGGAACACTAATCATGTAAGGCACAAAGGCCTGTAACTCTTAGTCTGAGTTTTCCACAAGGATGGGTAAGTTTCCTGATGAAAATGAACTGAACCCAAAGAATAGGTGGGCCAACCAGGTACCTCTTACCTACACATTTATCTTGAGGAAAATAATTCAAAATGAACTCAAGGATTTGACTACAAGGATAATCATGCCCTCAGTGTTCACAAAAGGGGGGAAAAAACAGAAATAACTGATGTTCAATTCTAGCAATTAGCATGTAATAAAATATTGTAATCTTTAAACATTATATTGGAGAAATAATTTATTATTAAGATATTCCTAACACAATGTTGGGAGTCAAAAAGCAATAAAGCAAAACAAAACAAACAAACAAAACCCGCATAGCATTACATCATTTTTTTAAATATAAGAAGAGACTTTTAGGGCAACATGGACTAGTCTTGGTTACTGCGGGATGGAGATTACAGATGAGGCAGATACTGCAGCTGACTCTCCAGCTTCCTCCAATCATGGCTGTGTGGACTGTAGAGTCCATACTTACGAACACTGCCCTTCGTAGGCACCCTTGCAGGCAGGGTTCCACATGCGGCTCAACTTCCTCCAAGAAGGTGGGGCTGCTCACGAGGAGACCACATCTTTAGGTGAAAGCACTGGTTTTTCTGAGGGAGCTGTGGCAGAGGTTTTACTGTGTGATCTCTACTTGAACAACCCTGGTATCTCGCTGAGTTTTCCTCCCAGGGATAAAGAATCCACACTTGCTTCCCTGACCCCTTTCCTCAGGTTCTCCCTGATGGGTTCCCATTTCAGGAGAGGTCACTGCAGCACGACCAGAAGATCCTCCGCGGACGGGGAGAGAATGCGCTGGCCAGGGAGTCTCAGCAGCAGGTGCAGGTCCTGGCGTCTGAGCTCAACTGAGTTCTTCCCAATGCTTTAGTTTCTTGTTTGGAGTCCCTGTCTTACATTAAATGTCCTTTCATATAAGAAATGTTAAAATGTAGTTCAATAATTCGTATAATCGGACTGTCATCTGATTTTTTATTATGTCAGTGTTGTAGGTGCTGAAGAAAAAAATATTCTTAGAATGTCAAGAATACAAAACTCGGAGCTAATACTTTTCTTCAAGTTCTGTCACATGGTTCTACGCAGCCAATCAAGTCTAGTTCTTCTATTCCTCCAAGTTCTTCAAAATGGCCTATGGCAGCAGCCAGAGTCCCCAAAACACTGCCAAAAAGGCACCTCATTCCTTGTGACCACAGAGCATGACTTAAACATCTGCCACTGAGCACCGTGAATTACAGGTACCATATCCCTTAAAGCTAACCAGAACCGCGCTACTGTCAATCCTAACCAGGCTAGGTCACTCAATCCCAGAGCCTCGTGTCAAGTGTATCACCTGGAGCCACTGTGTGCCAACTAAGCGTGGTCAGAGAGGATCTGTGTTCCATCTGCTTACACATATTGCAAGTTCAAGAAATAAATTCTGCATCTGTGAATGGTACATTCCCTATCAAGGAAGACATTTCCAAAATGGGTTTTAATATTCATAGACTGTACATACTCTAGGTTCTGGCAACACACATTCTCCACTGCAGCCAACCAACTTCGTTGACACAATAGGAAAGCAGCCTTAGATAACAGTAGGTAACTGACTGGGGAAGCTGTGTTCCAGTAAAGCTTATTTAAAAAACAGGCAGCAGACAAGCTTTGGCCCGTGAGCCAGGGGATGCCAACAACTGATTTAGACAAAAGAAATGGGTACACAACTAAAAAGTTCCAGTGAAACCGAACTCTTTCTATACATACCCCTTCTCATCCGCTGAGCTCGGCTGTGCTTCTTTCACTGGCTTCTGTGGCTTTTTCTCCTTCTGTTTCAGATACTCCTTCAGCTTCTCGGCTCTGTCAAGATATTCTGTGCATTTTGCTCTGATGCTCTGCTTGGCTTTGTCACCTTGTGCTTCATCTACCGAAGAGAAATGAGAGACTTTTTCTTTAGCGTTAGGTATAGGAATTTGTTTAAGCTCTTCAGACCCATTTTTTAAACAGGGGAAGTCGATGTCGGGGAAGACAAGCAAGATCGTCTGTAACTCTTGCTAACCACTGATTATCAACTCTTTTCTACTTATTCTGGCAAGGTTGAGACCAATAGTGAGTTTGTGTGTAAAAAAACAAACAAAGACCTGAACAAAACAAGAGGATGTTTTCAGTTAATGTTAAGTAATCATAAGAATTTTAGTATTTTCTAAGTTTCCTTTTCTCTCCACCATTTGAAAGCTGCTTGCCTCACACAAAATCAATAAAATCAAACAGAAGTAAAACAATATTAATCTTTTCCATTAATGTGTATATTAATTTTGAAAGAATAACAAGTGATGGAAATGTCATATGTTATATGTATCACTGATACAGCAATTTTATTACATATAAATACATCCATCAGGGCTATTTTCAAAAGCAGACTTCGGCAATATACCCAACACATGGATTAGCCCCATTATTTATGTGTTATCATTAATTCTTAGTTTTGCTTTAATTTGACACAAATTCTCAAAATTAAATGGAGAGGGAAGTTAAAAAAAAAAAAACCTTATTCAACCACGTTAACTTAAGATGCTCAAAGGTACGGTTTTTTTTAATTGATTTTTTCCCTCCTTATTGTATCCCCAGTGTCTAGAATAGTGAGTGCCCAGCTCATGGAAAACACAAATGAAATTAAATGAAATGGATAAAATGTCACCCAAACTATTTTTTAAAACAGAATTTTTCCAGCATATGGTTAGAAATGGTTATGGAAGTCACATAATTTGGGTTTACTACCAATAACATAAAAAAAACTTCCACTGATCATATGACATTGTAATGTGTTCAGGTATACAAACTAGGAAGTGTCACATTTGTTAGCTAAGTCTAAGTACTTAAGTGACTAGGAAGAAAGCGGAAAATTTCTGGCAAATGGATAGTTCTGAATTTTCTGGCACTGTATTTCAAATTTCATAAATGAAATACTGTAAGCTTTTCTTTCAGCATTTCTAAATAAGAAAAATAACAATGCCCTTACATTTGACCACATGGAGAAAATATTGCACAGCATGCTGGTAGAGCTGAAGGGCTTCCTCGTAGTTTCCAGCTTTGTCTTCTTGTGCCGCCTTGCTAGCAAGATCTATTGCTTTCTGTTTGAGGGAGGAAAAATAAGAACACTAAAATTAAAGCATATATCTCGGTTTGAAATAATCACATTGAAAAGTTTTTTTTAAATAAAAGCAATATCAAATCCATCTCTTATTCTAAATGCAAGTTAAATTTGCCATAGGGATAACTTGCCACTCAAATACCATTTTATCTAGTACCAATCACTTATGAGTCAGATAACTCAGTCAACTAAAGTAAAACTCAGGCTAGCAAGGAATAATTGAATAATCTGTAAATTCAAATTAAAACAGCATTGAGGGAAATTTCAAATCTTAAATGCTGCTGTATCTAAAGCATATTAATGAAAAATTAGGAATTCAAATAAAATCCCAAATAACCAGTGAAGACTTTTAAATAGCAAAACAAAACCTGAAAACTTAAACTTTTTTTTTTGACAGGTAGAGTTATAGACAGTGAGAGAAAGACAGAGAGAAAGGTCTTCCTTCCGTTGGTTTACTCCCCTAATGGCCACCAGGGCTGGCGCTGTGCCAATCCGAAGCCAGGAGCTTCTTCCTGGTCTCCTATGCGGGTGCAGGGCCCAAGCACTTGGGCCATCCTCCACTGCACTCCCGGGCCACAGCAGAGAGCTGGACTGGAAGAGTAGCAACTGGGACTAGAACCCAGCACCCATATGGGATGCCGGCGCCCCAGGCAGAGGATTAACCAAGTGAGCCATGGTGCCGGTCCCCGAAACTTAAATTTTAAATAGTCAAATGATGCCATATGATGGAATAATGAAGGATTATTAAAATAAAAATAATAAACATTTATAATAATATGAAAAGGGTTTATGATGGACATTTTCAAAAAGTAGGATACAACTCACAGCGTAAGTTCAACCGTTTGAAACAGACAAAAAAACAGAGGAAAAGGGGAGGAAATTTAACAGAGCCTATTAAATAAGCCTTTACTGTTTTCATTTTCTCCCTTTTCACACTTCTAAAAATGTCCATAATGAACACAGACAACTTTTGTAGTACAGTCATCCTTCCTGTCAAGGAGGGTAAGTTCTAAGACCCCCATGGATGTCTGAAACTACGGATACCACACCTAACCTTACAGTACTACATGTTGTTTCCTATACTGACGTCCTTGAGAATCTGAGAGAGGTTGGATCCAGGGCCTCTGTGGATATCAAAATCTGTGGATTACTTCTAACACCTGATACAAGGTACACACTACATAAGTAGATGTTATACTGTATTATTTACAGGAAAGAAGGAAAAAAAAAAGATTTGTACACGTTCAATATAAACACAATTTTTTTTCATGAATATTTCTGCTCCGTGGTTGGTACAGTCTAGAGATGTTAGAAATCTAGATATGAGGGGACCACTATACACACACACCTGTAATAAAGTTTTTTTTTCATTTTTCACTTTTTAAAAAAAAATATTTATTTATTTATTTATTTATTTGAGAGGCAGAGTTACAGAGAGATGGAGAGACAGAGAGGAAGGTCTTCCCCCTGCTAGTTTACTCCCCAAATGGTCACAATGGCCAGAGTTAAGCCAATCCAAAGCCAGGAGCAGGAGTTCCTTCAGGGTCTCCCATGTGGGTGCAGGGGCCCAAGCACTTGGACCACCTTCCGCTGTTTTCCCAGGCCATTAACAGGGAGCTGGATCAGACGTGGAACAGCCGGGACTCAAATACGCACCCATATGGGATGCTGGTGCCACAGGTAGAGGCTTAACCTACTACACTACAGCACCAGCCCTTGAAAAATTTTATTCCTAAATTAGATACAGTAAGAGATTAAAGTAAGAACAATTACCACAACATACCGAAATAAAAAGTTATGTGAATGTGGTCTCTCTCTCAAGTCAAGCCAGACTGGGACTGACAGCAGGTGTTGTTGAAACCACAGTAAGAAAACCAAAGGAAAAGGGGGACTACTGTATTAAAAACCCTCGCAGAAATAGATGCATAAAAACATATACAAATGATTTATGAAAATGACATAAAAGCAAGTCAATGGCAGAAGGTTTGACTTTTTACAAAATGGTGGTAGAGCAACTGCACATCCTTAGGCAAAAACAAACAACTTAAACTCACACTTCCTGTAAAACTTAACTGAAAATGGATCACAAACATATATAAAATGTAAAATTAGGCACAGGTTTCTGGCCTGGCAGTTAAAAAATCCACATCCCATACCAGGGTGTCTGGGTTCTAGTCCCAGCTTCACTCCCGATTCCAAGTTTCTACTAATGTGTGTCCTGGGAGGCGGCGGCTGATGGATCAGGTAGCTACGTCCCTGCCACCCATATGCAAGACCTGGATTGGGTTCCCACCTGCCAACTTTTACCTGACCCTGCTGTGGCTATTGCAGGCATTTGGAGAGTGAACTGACAGACAGGAGCTTGCTATCTGTCTACCTATCTGCATCTTTCTCAAATAAATAAATTTTTAAACATAAAACTATAAACTTTCAGAGAAAAAGAAAATTTCCAGGATCTATGGTTCTTAGGATTCTTAGATTTGACATTAAAAGCACAACATATAAAAGGGGAAAAAAAAAGGACTTGATCAAACTCACTAATCTTTATAAAAGATCCTGTTAAAAGGATGAAAAGGTAAGTTGCAGACAAGGAGGAATATGTGCAAATCATGTGTCTAGAGACTAGTATCTAGACTGCAACAGTTAAAGAATCCAATTAGGAAATGGACAAAGGCTGTGAACAGACATTTCACCTGAGAGGTCACACAGACACCAAGTAAGCACGGGAAAAGCAGCTCAGCATCATCAGAGAGTGAGGAAACACCAAATCAAAACCACACACGAGGGGCTGGCGCTGTGGCGCAGTGGGTTAACGCCCTGGCCTCAAGGGCCAGCATTACATTTGGGCGCCAGTTCAAGACCTGGCTGCTCCACTTCTGATCCAGATCTCAGCTATGGCCTGGGAAAGCAGTGGAAGATGGCCCAAGTCCTTGGGCCTCTGCACCAGTGTGGAAGACCCAGAGGAAGCTCTTGGCTCCTGGCTTCAGATCGGCTTGGGGAGTGAATATCAGATGGAAGACCTCTTCCTCTCTCTGTGTAGCTCCGACTTTCAAATAAAATAAAATAAATCTTAAAAACACACAATGGGCCAGCGCCGTGGCTCAACAGGCCAATCCTCCGCCTTGCGGCGCCAGCACACCAGGTTCTAGTCCCGGTTGGGGCACCGGATTCTGTCCCGGTTGCCCCTCTTCCAGGCCAGCTTTCTGCTGTGGCCCGGGAGTGCAGTGGAGGATGGCCCAAGTACTTGGGCCCTGCACCCGCATGGGAGACCAGGAAAAGCTCCTGGCTCCTGGCTCCGGATCAGCGCGATGTGCTGGCCACAGAGTGCCGGCCGCGGCGGCCATTGGAGGGTGAACCAACGGCAAAAGGAAGACCTTTCTCTCTGTCTCTCTCTCTCTCACTGTCCACTCTGCCTGTCAAAAATAAAATAAATAAATAAAATTAAAAAAAACACATACACAATGAGATATCCATATGCATTCATCACAGATGGCTAAGGTAATACAATACCAAATGCCAGTGAGGACGCAGGGAACTCATCACTCCCACATTGCAGGTGGGATGTAAAATGGTGCAGCCACTCCAGGAAACTAGCTGTTTTTGTCTACAAAACTGAACTCACAACTTCTCTATGAACAAGCAACTACACCCCTGGGCACTGGCCCCAGGGAAACAGAGCTTTATGTTCATACTGAAACCTGTACGTGAATGTTCAGATGTCCTTAAGGGCTGCGTGGTTAAACCACGTGGTACACTAGCAAAAGGAATCAATCACCGTTACAAACAACTGGGATGAATCCTGAGGGAATCATGTTAGGTGAAAAAAGCCAACCCTAAAAGGTTACATACTGTATGATTCCATTTATATAATGCCCTCAAAGCGACAAAACTAGAGATGGAGAGCAAATTTGTTCTGCCAGGAGACAGGGATGGTGTATGGAAGACAAAGTGAGGTGGCTGTGGTTATGAAAGGGGAACTTCTTTTTTTTTTTTTTTTTTTAATTTTATTTAATGAATATAAATTTCCAAAGTACGATTTATGGATTACAATGGCTTCCCCCACATACCGTCCCTCCCACCCACTACCCTCCCCTTTCCCACTCCCTCTCCCCTCCATTCACATCAAGATTCATTTTCGATTATCTTAATATACAGAAGATCAGCTTAGTATACATTAAGTAAGGATTTCAACAGTTTGCTCTCACACAGAAACATAAAGTGAAAAATAATAGATGATTTTTTTTAAATGATGATGAAATCAGATCAGACCTATTGTCATGTTTAATCCCAGTGAGAGTCAAGTTGGGAATTGATAATTTCTTTTTTTTTTTTTTACAGAGGATCAGTTTAGTATACATTAAGTAAAGATTTCAACAGTTTGCACCCCCATAGAAACACAAAGTGAAATATATTTTTGAGTACTCGTTATAGCATTAAATCTCAATACACAGCACATTAAGGACAGAGATCCTACATGAGGAGTAAGTGCACAGTGACTCCTGTTGTTGACTTTACCAATTGACACTCCTGTCTATGGCATCAGTAGTCTCCCTATGCTCCAGTCATGAGTTTCCAAGGCTATGGAAGCCCTCTGAGTTCTCCGATTCTTATCTTGTTTAGACAAGGTCATAGTCAAAGTGGAGGCTCTCCTCCCTTCAGAGAAAGGTACCTCCTTCTTTGAAGACCTGTTCTTTCCACTGGGATCTCACTCGCAGAGATCTTTTGCCAGAGTGTCTTGGCTTTCCATGCCTGAAATACTCTCATGGGCTTTTCAGCCAGATCCGAATGCCTTTAGGGCTGATTCTGAGGCCAGAGTGCTATTTAGGACATCTGCCATTCTATAAGTCTGCTGAGTATCTCACTTCCCATGTTGGATCACTCTCCCCTTTATTTATTCCATCGGTTAGTGTTAGCAGGTACTAGACTTGTTTATGTGCTCCCTTTGACTCTTAGTCCTTTCATTATGATCAATTGTGAACT